TTGCACATGAAGTGTCCAACACCTGCTTATCTGCCATCATTCATGCCTATGTCTGCTCAGGAAATGGCTTTGCCTCTTAATATAGGCTGTATCCTGAAAGATGCCAGGACCCCAAGCTCCCTGGTCTTCCAAGTAACTTTTGTTACTTTTGCTCCTGGAAGCTAAAGTACTGCCTAGTGGAGAAGCCAATGTGATGGAGAATTGCTGCCATGTAAGCTGCTGAGTGAAAGAGTCACTCCCACTCTTCCTGCCCCAGCACCTTGGCTGCACTGCTGTGGCTGCTGGCCTCTCAGATCATTGGCTGCAAGGAGAGTCACTCGCCACTTTGCCAGTTGGAGCAGAGCAGGGAGAGGAATTAGAAAACACTGTAGGATAAGGCAGAATTTCACTGCTGTCTCACTTCACAAGACACTTATACCCCTGGCATGTTCACAGGGGCAGGGATCATTCATGCATGGTGGGGCAGAGTGCAGGATGCCAGCAGTAAAAATCCTCTCTGCTCTTATCATAAGGGAATCAGTGACCCAGCACACACACAGCTCCTGGCAAACCTCCCAAGGAAAGGCTGACTCTCATTGTTCGCACATGATGCATTTATACTGAACTCTGAAGGAGATCTTTTGCTGATTTCTTTTTCTGCTTTAGTGAGTTGCATGGATCTGTTTCACTTGGATGCCCCTGTGGCACGAGGAGTCCCGTGCTGCATGTTAAAAGAGAACCTGGAGTTCTCCTTCTCCCCCTTCTCCATCTCCCCCCATCACCTTCCCAGAGCATCCAAGAGGGGCCTCCCTGCAATGTCCATGCAAACTGCCTAGGGTCCAGGCTGCTGCTTGCAGCACCAGCAGTGCCTGAGGATCACTGGGATACACTTACAGGCTTTAGAAGTCAATAGCATTGCCCACACCTCAACAAGATGTGGTGACAGCTATTGCTGGCTAGAGCTCCAGCATGGCTCCTCAGTTCCATCTGGGCTAGCTAGCGCACCCACCACAGCCCTGTGCTGCAGAGCTCGCTGAGGCTGGGGAACATCTTCAGATTTGGAGTCTGAACGTCTTCAGTTCTCTGGAGGGTTTGCAGCCATGGAAGAGGTACAGGCATGGTAACATTCGTACCCATCAAAATCACTAAATGCAAGCATGTAGAGTAGGGTCCTCCTTCAGCCCCTCTGCCCCCTCAACAGCAAAATCACAGCAGCAGCACGTTGTGCTGTGGGGAGCACTGGCAGCAGAGGACCTAGCCAGGAGTGGAAAGAGGGCGCAAGCAATGGGTGCTAAGCCAAGTTTCTTCTAAGAGCTCTGCTTCAGAATCACGATGTGGTCCTATGATTTTATTCCTAGAGTGAGGGAACACTATATGGGGAAGGAAGTCCCCCAGCCTCCTCTGAGGGAGGAGGAGAATGACCTCAGGGCCTGATTTCAGAGTAACAAGCCTTTACTTGCAGGCATTCATGGAGTTCAGACTTGCGTGGCTCTGATATAAATTTAGGTCTCAGTCCTTCCCATGATGGGTGTGAGGAGTTACAATGTGTAAATAAGAGAAAGCGTCCTGTTTTTCCATTCATAAAAAAAAGAATCAAGTGTCATTTTCATTTCAAAAAAATTCTATGTGAAAAAATATGCCATTTGGTTTGCAAAGCCAAGCACTTAAATGTTAGTTAGTACCTGCGCAACCTTAATTCACCCACTTGTGTATGTGCATTATAACAAAGTCTTTGCCTGCTGATCAAGTACTATTTATATTTTTCACAGGACCATGTCCCATGCTCAGTGCAAAGGATACATGATACTTAGGATAACAGTGAAGATGCTGCAATAAATGAGGCCATTTTTATGTGGTCAACATAAAATATTAAACCATAATTTTGGCAGGGGGCCGATTTGTACGTTCCTAATTTTGTGGGTGCCCAACATGAGACCCTAGGGGCCATTTTGCAGAACTGCAGAGTACTCATAGCTAATGTTTTGCAAAACCCTGACAGCTTAGCCAGTAAACTGGTATGGTCTCAAGGCATTAGTGAGGCTAAGAGCCAAGAGGTCCCAAGCTCCACTCCTGCACCTGCTGCTCCTTCACCGTGTGGCTAAGGGGGAACTCTCTTTCCCCTTCAACAGCGCAGGAGATAACCACTCTCTCTTGCCTCATCAGGTGAATAAATTCTCTGTCATCTGTGAAGCAACTACAGCAGCAAACATCTTCAGAACACCACAAGGCAATGAATAATGATGTGTTGCCTGCAGGGCTTGGATGATAGGCAGTAAACAAATAAAACAGGCACACACGTAGCAGTACCAAAATAATAACAACCCCCTGCTTCACTCCCTGAGCGCCATGCGTCCGATGCCCTGAATGAAAATACAGTGTGTGATCCTAATAGGACTGCAACCCAATACAGACAGCACAGTGCCCTGAATCCCGACATTCCCTAACTTTCAAGTGCTTGTTTTTGCAATGTGAATAAAACCATATTTCGTGTAAACCCACCTCTCACATGTGAAGCAACTTCCCCTTCCATCCATCCAGCCTGGATATGAACTGGTACATGGAAACAAATGTTTCTTCTTGGTATTAGGGTCCCTTGAGCCACAAAAAGTGTTTTTGTGAGCCAGCATTTCACTAAAGCCACAGCAGGATTAAGGTATGTGTTACAGAGTATTTTCATGCTAGGCGGTCTGCAGTATGGGCAGAAACAGTCCAGGACTCTTTAACATCAGCTCTTTCCCACTGAGAAGTGCAGTATGTGTCATGATGTAGCATTTTGGAGCATTACCCAGCTGGCAGGAGCATCCCAGTATGGTCATTTGGGTTACTGCTTGAGCCACCCAGGACTGGGACAGATGTCAAGCACTGTAAGCAGCTCCTTGTAACCAAACATGGCAAGTGAAGGAAAATGTTTGGTCTTTCTTTTGAATCAGCAACAGGCAAGTGCTGAAGTCACTGAAGTCCTACCCAGGCGTACCCTCCCACAGGAGTGAGCCTGCTCCGGGCTATTCCACACTCCACTGCAGCCTCCACTGCTCCCTGCGCGCCCCTGTCGGGGTGTCCTCATGGTCCTGTGCTGCTGAGGCCCTCCCTGCCATGCTGAGATGGCATCTCTGCCTTCCTCAGGCTTCTGTGGTTCTGATGAGCTCCAAAAATCCTTTCTGAAGCAGGGTTCAGAAAGCCATAGGAAGGGCAGGAGGCTGGAATAGCTCATGAAGATACCAAAGCTCTGAGCGCACCTTACTAGCATGTGGCATTCACTTTGCTGGAAGCACGGGTAAAGCTATGATGAGGTATAAAAATTACATAAGAGGGCTTCCCCCCTTCCTCTTTGCAAACAGCCTCTTTCTCAGAAATTACCATTCATTCCTCCAAGTGGATGACATACACTAACAGAGACGGCACTGATGTCTGACAGGGAGACAACTCCCTCAAGCCCTTCACTCACGTGGAATAATTCCCTTGCAAATGTTGTCTGCTCGCGGCAGTTAGAGGAAGATCCAGTCCCCCCAAACATACCCAAGTGACAAAGCTCAGAAGAAAAATGGTCTGAGGTTCTGGAAAGGCACCCCCTTCTCCTCACTGCTAGAAGTATCCCCTGCTTTGTGACGAGTCCATCTGTGCCTTTAAGGGAGACCCTGTCTTCAAGGGTTTCCTTCTTGTGAACTGTTTAATAGCACTCTGGACAGCAGCTGCTCCAGCTCTTATCACAATGAGCTCTTAATTTTTCTGTCAATCCTCCAGTGACAGGACAGGAACCGGCAGCAGAGCGATGCTATATTCTACTAACTACCGTTCAAATCAGGGACGCACTGGAACTGGCACATTGAATCTACCTGACTGTCCAAATTGCAAGCCCGAGGCCTGGTTCAATAATGACCTGGTTGGAGCACCAACTCCTCCCCTCTCCCCAGACCAGGAGAGCTCTGGTTTTACATGTCTCTCTAATTAATTAGAGTGAGATGCAGTGGCAATAATAAGCTGGGCAGGCAGCAGGAGCAGAAGAAAATGCCCTGTGTGATATATATGTGTGCACGTCTCCACATGTGTATATATGCGCACACACGTACACACAGACTCACACTCACAAATATATTTCCCTGCCTGAAGCAAAATTCATAGGAGGCTTCACGTCAGCTCATTCAGGACATTCTCCTCACCCTTTTCTCCCAGGCAGAGCTGCCCCTAATAGCAATATTGGAAAAGACTATTAAGTCTTTCTGTACTATAATCACCCCTATCCCTCGTGGTATGCCTTCCTCCCAGAACTTCAGAAATCACAGGCTCAGCCTGCAGGGATTCTGGAGACAACTCGGGATTTATTTTTGGCCCCTCTTGTGACATGGTTCATGTCCTGTGGTCATGTCCGTGAGCTTTGTGTGTAAAGATGTATACGCAGTAAACACAGACACATGCGCGCGTGCGCACACACACGGGAAGAAAAAGCCCTCATCCTCAAGCCTGTTTACTGAATTTTGGATCAGCCACCCATTCAGTTTTGGTCCTCATTCACTTCTCCATTTTAGGTTTTCCTTACTAAGGCAGCTGAGACCAAAAAGCTTCCCAGTGAAGCCACCACCGGTCAGGTGAGTGGCACCTGGTGTGTTGGACCCACTCCAGTTTGCTGAGGAGGGGACGGAGGCCAGGGTCACCAGGAACTGCCCAGTACACAGTCACCACCGCACCAAGCACTTAGCCCCAAAGCTGCACTTGAGCTGTCCGCGCTATAGCTAAAAATGCTGGTGCCATTCACAACTGGGAGAAGTTGCTGCCAGCTCCCCATACTTAAACTGGACTAGAACCAGTACCATCAGCCTCCGCGGCAGAATTGTCTTTCTGATTTATCAGGAAAATTGCTGCCCTTCAGCCTCATACAACTGGGATTTCTCCGCTGCACCAAGTCGCAGCCAGTGCTGTCCCTGCCTGCCAGTCTCCTCCCTGAGGAAGCTGCTTCCTTGGGGGCAGCCCCACTGAAAGATCTCACATAGCTGGAGGGAAATACAGACAAGAGAGCCTCTACTTACTGTTCTCGGGCTCGGATGGACCCTCCTCTGAGCCAGCTCTTCCAGCGAACCCCGTGCAATTCCCAAAGCAAATCCTGCAGAAACTCCCTCCGTTGCCCAGTGTGTTCTCGCTGGACTCCAGTTGGCACGAGCCCTTGTCTCCTTGCCTGCTAGCCAGCTGGTCACCCCGCGCAGCAGGCAGAGAAGCAGCACGGTTAGATGGCAGCGTGGGAAAGGGACTGTAATCCTCTGTAAATAATAAATAGAGGGAGAGAGAGAGAGGCGGGAGAGGGAGCGACTGAGCGCAGTGAAGTGGCAGCTGGGGGTACATATGCGGTGGCAGCAGCGCACGCACAGGAACGCGCACATACACTGCGAAGGAATCACCCCGCCGAGCAGGCAGGGTCTGCTCCGAAACACCCGGCGGAAGGAGCTCGGAAGGTTTTGATTTCTCTCAACCCATGCGGGAGAAAAAGCAGTTGCTTGCTTTCAGTCTCTCTGGCGTACACGCTCCCTCCTCCCCCCTTGCTCCCTTCCCTCTCCTGGTGGATGGTGCAAAGGGCTCAAGGAGGGGTGCAGAGTCGCCGGGGGGGGGGGGGGGGGCTCCCCACGGCCCCTCATCAGGCAGATTAGTCCAAGCCGTTAGGTGCAGGTTATGAGAGGAACCACTGAGCCGAAGTGCCTCCTCCCCTCCCTTCCTCCCCTCGCTGCTATGGCTGATCACAATAAACCCGGAGAGAAAGGCACGCGAAGGGGAAGGGGACAAGCCATTGTGTCTGCCGGATTTGTATAGAGCTGAGGCTGGCAGGTGCAGTGAAGGGGAGGCAGCAGGGAGACACCCTGCACCCTGGAGCCTGTGACCAAGACACCCTACCTTGCCATCGGTGCCCCAGCCGTGGAGAGGGGAGCACCTACTGTGCGTTACGTAGGTGCTTAATGAAGAAATGTCTACAATGGGCTGGATGAAGCGTGCCTGGGTGCAGCAGGCTGTTGTAACACTTCAGTGCTCGAAAAGAGCATGTCCTGGCATTCGCTTCCTTGGCAATTGAGGGAGAACGTGAGGAATGCTGAGGGGGAGCGGGGAATATCTGTGAGGAGAGGAATGGGCAAGGGAGGAGCTTTTACACCTGTGGTTCACTCCCCTGGAGTTGATGTGCCGTGGGGACAGTGTGGGCAGGCAGTACGTCCAGCACAGATGTTGCTCGCAGTTACATCCACATAACAGCAAAGGCATCCCCTGCCCTATGTGAGGCAACCTGGTCGTGTGCTGGGGTACCAAACCCAACCCGCTGACTCTGTGCAGCTTCCCTCTGGTTTTTCCCAGGGCTCCTTCCCCCTGCCCTTTCAAAGGCAAACTTCTTGCTTGCCTTCATCCTGCTTGCTGGTCACCTCAGTAGGTAAATTTTGCAAGAATTATTTTGTTCCGCTGATCCACTATAACTGCCTCTTTGCTGAGCCTCAGTACTGTAGGCAGTCTGCCTTTGATTTTGGCTTTTTGTTATTTTTAACTTGTCTTGAAGTTACTTTTTAAGCAAAATTTTTAGTGGACTTTTCTCAGATTGAATGAAGCAGCTCCTTTGGCTTGAGGGGAAAAATGGGAATATTTCAGTTAAAAGAAACAGGGAACGAAGGTGGACAGAAAAGGCAGGGCTTTTCTGCTCCTTTCATTGGAGTCATGGTTTTTATTTAAACTCACCCCAGCCTCCGTGAAAACAGGTTCTGAATGGCAAGGTGCATCTCGATAAGCAGTCTAGGGGATGTAATCTTATGGCTCTTTGTTATGCCTTTTTGTGGTGTGGCAGGCCAGAGAATTAAATCTTGAGGAAAGCTCCTTATGAAAACAGCATATGGATAATCAAAGAGACGAGGCAGGGAAGGCAGACAGAAAGAGAGCCAAGCAGAGGATGAGCTAATGAGGCAGGCATGCTGCACAGGGGCATGAGCAGGTGGAGGGGAAAGCTATTATCTCCGTGCTGAACGGCAGCCTGCGACTCCTGAGAAAGCCAGCTGCAGTAATGCAGCAGGTCCCGCTTCGCTTTGCAGGGCAGATAAGGTGCCTGCTGGTGGGAAGTTGTGCGCAGGTCTGGGTAGCTCATCGACATGGTGAAGCAACATCTGAATACGCAAGGTATGCAGCATTGTTTGTCCTTGTGTTTTATTCCGTTACTGGGAAACTACAGTTGCTCAGGTTATCTGTACGTTAGTAGGAATAAAGCTATTAGCCATGGTCTCTCCAAGGGCTTTACGGTTATTGCTGTGCCACACACCAGGGCCACTCAGAATTTCATGGACCTTGGATCTTTCTGTTTCTGCAGCATACTCTTTGCCACCCGAGCAAAAAGGCTCATTAAGTGTCAGTTATACTTTGGAACAAGCAGACGGGGGTTTATTCTAGTTTTTTTCCTCTCATCTGAGCTGTGGAATCATCCTTTACTGAAACTGAGTTGTTACTTTCCTCCTTTCTCCCTATCCTCACCAGAAGCTTAAAGGCACGTAGGCAATTCACTACTAGCACTCGGAGGCTGTTCCTGGCTCCCTCGTGTCGCTTGAATGCACGGAAGATTCTCCTAATTCTTGCCAGAAGCTGCCAATCCACCCCTGAGTGGCAAGGAGTGGTGCCGCCAGGCAGGAGCATGGAGTAGTTTCTCTATTATGATTCCCCTTGGTGGGTACTCTCCCCACCATTGTCTGGACAAGCCTGAGTGCAAGTCAGACTAGCCCCTAACTTTGCTTCCGATGACTTTGCTCTTCAGACTGCGCAGCAGTGTGAGGAGGAGAACAGCAGACGCCGCAGCTCCACAAGGAATAGCTAGGGATGACTGCTGGACACCAAGCAAAGAGATCGCTGTAAAGGAAAGAAAGGGCTGGTGCAGAGGAGATCGGTAAGCCCAGGCCCTATGGAGAGGCTAGCATTGGCAAAGATTGCACGCAAAGGACAAAACTTGCTGACAGATGGCTAGACATAGCTGTGGGCGATATGGAAAAGGGAAAAAGAGAGCTAGGAGAGAGTGCTTCCTGTCCTTGCCACAGGACACCAGTGCAAGCCTCCAGCTACTCTCTGCTCTCATATTGCAGGCAACTCTGAGTTCAGTACATGCTACTCATACCTCCTGGGCAGAGGGGAAGGGGGAGGCAAGGATTTATGCCCAGGAGCTAAGGTCCCTTTGGAGGATGATTTCTGGATAGATGTTCCTCCTGGCAAAAACATGAGCTGCTCAGTAAGTCTCTGCATTGCAAGGTTAGTTTTCTAGATACCAACTTCTCTTCACGTCTTATAAAACCTGCATGTCCCAGGTAATGCTCAGTCCTACCGATGTGATCTGCTGTGAAAAGGGGAAAAGCTCTTGCTTGAGATAGTTTTAAAAGGATAAGGAGGAATTTATTCAAAGCTACGCACCAAATCAGGCCTCCTGCACCTCAGTGGACTCAGCAGCAGTGGCACCATTTGCCATCCGGCACAGATTGGTCTGTGAGGGCACCAGGGCAAACTGAGCCTGCCGCTGGAGTCAATGACTCTTCACCAGGGCTGAACTCACCCCATCCTTTCTCCTTTCTTTACGTTCTTTGAAGTAGTTACAGATGAATCTCGAGTGAACATTGTATCTTGTCTGGTTTGTGCTCTTTGAGGCCTAGGGACATGGCAGCTGTACAAAATAATCCCTTTACCCCACTTACAGGCAGTCAGATTCATTGTGCAACAGGGAGAACTGGATAAGAAACGTACCTATGAACAGGATTTTGTAAGATGAATCAGCAGTGGGAATGTAACAAGAAGGACGCTGACACTGGTATAAAAGGCAGAGCTGATGTAACATGGCTGTGATTCCAGCTGATGGCAGCTGCCAGGTTCTCCATATGTGCTGCAAGGAAGTATATCACTGCATACTCAGGTTCTCATTCTTACCCAGCTGAATTAGAGCATCAGCTCAGACAGATTAAAAGCACCCACACAGTGTATAGTGTGATTCAGATTTAAAGGATCCTAAGTGAGGTTCTGTTCCCCCTGTGGAGCTCCTGCTAATTCAGAGGAAATCTGTAGAAAACAGAAACAGGTGTCTGCCTGATACTGAGCCCCTTTTCAGAAGCATCAGACTCTCCCTCTCTGTACTTTCTTTTCTCCCTCTTTTCACTTTATATTCTATTTCAGTGTCCTGCTTGAGGTTCCCTGTTTTCCCCGTCACAGTGCTAGGATGTGCACATCTGCATTCATTAGTATTTGTACTTGTAGGCAACCTACGCAGGGGGTAGCTGTGTTACTCTGTCAGGGAGGCCCTGCACATTTTCTTCTAATGTAGAGTTATGCCTCACTTCAGGGACATGATGGTAGGAATGGAACAGAGATGAAGCCAAGAAATTAGGATGCACTTCATTAAAAAACACACACACGCTTCTGCTTGGAGGAACGTGCAGTAGGCTGGGATCAGGTAGCTAAGCAGTTCTGATCTACACTCTTCCATCAAGTGGCATTAGTATTTCTCTGCTTTCATAGTGGCTTAATGGCTATCTAAATCACTGTGGTCTCCCCTTGAAACAGGTGGGAGTTCAAATCCCTTCCTTGCACTGGCCTATTTTTTTCTGACTGAGAGTGTGTTGTGTAGCAGATGAGCCTGGGATGATCATAAAAGTCCATTCTGGCCTGACGGATCTGCAGCAGACAAAGATGAAAGTTCACACTTGCTCCCTTGGGGTTTTTTTTGTTAATCTGTTTGTATCTTTGTAGCGTTTAGTGGGTGGGAGGTGTCAGTACTTCAGTACTGCAGTCAATGTCTCCTTTTCCCCTACCTTGTTAAACCTCTGACTCTCACTTGACAGTCTGACTCAGTGCTTATCCGTCAGTGCTTATCATTTACACTTGGAAGCAGCTTGCAATTGCAATTCCATCCCATTACTTTGGGCAAATATTTACCCTTCCTTTCCTAACTTGTGTTTGTCTTTCTCTCTCACACATTCCTCTCTTCCTCCTTCCCCCTTTTATTTCCCGTAGCGGTGGGTGTGCAAATTAAGCTGGAATTACTCCAACGCAAGTTTTGGATGGCCATGCAACAGGTAGGAGCATCAGCAATCATGCAGAGAGACAGTTTAATGTTCTTCGTCAGCAAGGCCGATGCTAGGTTACGTCATGTACGATGGCATTTCGTTAAGGGCTTTTGTGAAATTTATATTAAAAGATTTATAGAGTAGATTAGTTTGAAGTCACACATTTCTCTAATCCTTTGACGGCACTAACGTCATGTGAGCCATGAGTCTGTTCCACAAATGCTGTGTTGACGGTGTCAGCATCCTGGCCTGGCATTAGCTCTGCTGCATATGACACATTTAATTGTGGAAGTACGTTGTCATTCAGCCTTTCAGAAACCTCATGGAAATCTGCAATTCTGGGCACATAGAAAAAAAAAATCTACTGCCCTCTGTTATCATATTGATAACGGTAACAAAATGCTAGTAGCTTGCCAAAATAAAAATGGTTTGCTCCGGGGATAAACTTTCAGTGTTGTGCTAATTTTGGATGCTCTTGCTGGACCAAGAAAAGTGTAATAATTAAAACAATCCCCTGATCTAAGAGACAGGAAAAGTGAAACACCTTTCTGTTACTGTTCAGGGGGCTTTCCTCCCAGATTTTACTTTTGGGGCACCATACAAGGGGGAAGAGTCCAGTAGGACTAAAGCAACACACAGCAGAAATGGGTGTCTGCTGTAAAAAGAGGGGACTGTCATAAGACAGCTCTGTGGTGACAAGATCAGGAAGCTGATTGCCATGACAGACAACATGTGAAGAATGGAAAAATCCAGAATTGTCCTTGGTATCAGGAGGCGACCTCTTAGCAGATGGGAGATAGGGGGACCTCTGATAAACCTAACCTGAGCTAAAAAGACTTGCACAAAGCGTGTGAGCACATCCTGAAGTGTTGGCAGAGAGCTTAATTTTAAAAATCTCCCGAGGGCCATAGCCAGGCAGTTCTCACACAGACACACACGCACACTCATTTCAAGTGTTAAGTGAAATCGGGAAGGTTTATTAAAGAAGCTAAAAGGAGGCCTGTAGGCCAAGTGTCCGTATGGCATGGTCCTGATAGGTGCCTATAGGAAAAAAGCCTTCGTATGGTTTCCCGGGCCATGACGGCAGTTTGTCAGGGCAATGACTAACAGATTTTGTTTTCTCTCTCCCCTGTCAATGCATGCTGTGTCCACGCTGTGCCTCCTGTCTCCCAGCCCAATGACAGTGATGTAAGTAGACAAAAGCGCTGGACGGGGAGGTATCCCAGCGTGCCTCGCCACATCTCTGCTTTATAATTGTGCGGTTTGTGTGCCAGTATAATATAGGCACTGTCCCTTGTCTGCAATCACTGGAGACAGTCCAAGCCTGTCGTAGGCTGTATTTGTCTTTACAGTAATTAAGTGTCTTTGGCAAAGCCGAAAGTGCTCTGGCTTTGCAGCATTTCAGAGACCTGACCAAGAACAAGAGAAAACTGTGAGGTAGGTTGGTCTCTGACGAGGAAGCTGTGACGATAAGGCAGTAGATGTAGTGGTCTCAAAGCAACCAGCAAGCTCAGGTTCAGCTATCCCCCGCTCAGGGGCTCTCCGCAAGCTGTCTGCGCTTTCCAAACAGGCTTCTCATCTCTCTCCCGCTGCTGCAAATGCAGCCTAGCACCAGGGGTACTGCTGGAGTTTTTCCAGGTCTGGGCCTCAGCAGCAGAGATGAGAATCAGTCCTCACATTGCTGAGAGAGATGCTGTGAGACCCGGGCCCTTCTTGGGGGAAATCACCCTCCATGGTTCACATGAGCTTCTCTTCTGATTTCTGAGCTCTGCGGTCTGTGTTATCCCCTAAGGCAATAATATTGAGTCATTATGGCCATATTTCTCAACTAACGAAAGGAAAAAAACCTACCAGAGATAAAGGATAGGGCCACTGCTTTTAGTGCCTATGTTGAGGAAGACAAAACAACCCAATCACGGTGAGGCTATGACTGCAACTTTGCATCATGACAGGGGACCAAGGGGGATCTTTAAACCCTCATCCTTAGGGCTTCAAAGAGCCAGTCAGAGTAGGAGCATAAGGATGGGGTATTGCAAAGCTACAGAGCTTGAAACAAACTCAGGCATCACTGAGGCCTCCTTTGAAATTGAGCAGAGGGACAGAAACCTGAAAGTACTGGTGTTGTCCTGCAAAACTCTTGGTGGGAAGCAAATTCTACCTGGAAGTGATGGTTTTGTTGGGGTTTGGAATGACAGTTTCACGTCTTGTTATTGAGAAGCATCCAGAAAGAGGGCTGGGGGTTATAAATAAGCGTTTTATGGTAATGAAAGGCGGCTGACTGAGAGCAGACAGGCTACGCTACACATCAGTGTCCTTCCCTGACCCTAGAAAACCTCTGGCAGGAAGGGGACCCCATGTACAGAAATGGCAACACCATGTCAGCTTTCTTTCCTCAGCTCCTGGTGAAAATAGCATTAAAAAATAACACAAAGAGACAGACACATGCAGCCACCACAAACTCAGAACAATTATGAAATCAATAAGCACCTGAAGGGCTTTGTTACTCATCACTTAACCCCTCCTGTCCCCATCCGGTTCAGTGTTGTGAAACACATGTCAACTCTGGTACACATAAATCCTAAATGAAATAAATGGATAGTGCCTCAGGCTACACAAGCACCATTCACATCCTATTTTATCATTAGTTGTCTAGAGAATAAAGAAACCAACAGCAACAATTTAAAAAAATAAAAATCCTGCCTGAGAATAATCCTGAAATAAAATTCCATACATGTATTTAGTCCAGATTTCAGGAGATACCGAAACACATACTGCTTTCTCGCCAGTGCACAATAACCTTTGTTATCGCAGTCAGAGAGCTTGATGCTGCCCCCTTTCTTTGTAAGTGCTATCCCTGCTGGAGGTGCGTAGGGAGCTGCTTAAAGCAATTCACAGAGGCTGGTGCAGGCTCAGAGCCCTCAGCAATGTTACTCAGGGAGCACTCACAGTATGGGGAATATGGAGACCCACTCACTGGTTTACTTGGTGAGTGTTACCTGTGCATGCTATAGAGCTTGTCTTGTTCAAAATGCCAGCTAACTTAAGCAGCTTAATGGGATGTTGATATGGAGACCTTTTGCTTAGCTCTGCCAAGATGGGGATCATAGATGAGATCACACCATGATCTAATTCCTGATTTTTTTTTCCAGTGCAGTGCCTTGGACGGTGCCTGTCCACTAAGCTGTCAGGATGATGTAAGTTGCCCAGATTTCTTCTCTGTACCTGCGATGGGAATGATTACCTGCTGTGTGGAGGCCTTTGTCTCCCCAAAAAATGAAGTATTGCTCAACAATCTCGCAAGAGGCTGTAAAGCTGGAGCAAGCCTTCATGTCCTTGACACAAGCCTGCAGTTTATGCCTTCCCCTCGTACCAGCATCATCTGTGAGAGATCAGCTGAACTCAGCCCAGGGGATGTGAATTCCCACCAGTGACTCGAAGGAGACTCCATCTTTTCTAAGGCTGTCCCACTGGGGTCCCGGGCCTGCTGAAGAGTGGCTGCCAGCATGACATGCATGCTGGACACCCCTCTTTGCCTTTATGCCACTGCTCCAATCTTGATCTCAGGCGTGTTTGAGACAGGGTATCCTCTCCCTGGAGGGTGGAGTCACCAGAGAATTTTCATCCTATGTTCATGTAGGATCTTCTAGTTTTTCCCACTGTGAGACCCAAAGATTTCTGTCTAAACTCTGTGCCTCCATTTCCTGCTCTGCAAAATAAAAATGGTAAGACCACCAGTACTGAATATCAGTGGTAAGGAGAGGGTTATTTCATTAGTGTTTCTAAAGCTCTGAAATCTGAAGATGGAAAGCATTAAATACCTTATTATTAAAGAGGAGTTGTCTCCAAATACCTTATCACTTCCTACAGCATATATTGTCTGCACAAGTAAGGTTCAGTGTATTCTAGGCCTGCGTGCTACCGTGCCAAGAGAAAATCTCTGTCACCAACAGCTCACTGACAAAATATCTCGAAATAGAGGCAGAGAGGGAAAAGTGAATTGTGTAAAGCTTGCCATGATTGAGTGACAGGGTAGACATGGAAATGCTGAGGCTAAGGCCATTGCTATGACCACAAGTCCACACTGCTTCACCCTGCACACAGCAGTATATAACAGACAACCATGTAAAAGCTGTCTTTAATGTTGCTTCTCTTTCATCTCTGCAGATTCTGAATTGCTTCCTCATTGATAATAATGGCTTTATACTCGTTTCCAAAAGACCTGCAGAGGTAAGAGAGCATAAGAGAAGGAGGAGAGCGTGCTTGGCTTGTTCCTAAGAAACACACCAGAGCTGTTTAAAACAAATGAAGTTCAATTGTTTACTAAAGGTGGCCACAGTGTAATCAAATTCAACTGTGCGGTGAGGGGAAGGCCTCCAGGCACAGTGACAGCATGTTCTAGGTAAGTAAGGAGTTTGCAATGATAAGGAAGGAACTAGTCAAAATGTCTTTTTTATCAAAAGTGAGGAAATTAGAATCCTTACCCTCACCGCAGATGCTATTGAAAGACGATCTAAGAGAGTCCCAGAAGGCAGGCATGCCCTGAAACTGGAAGGAGAGGCAGCAGCACTTTTGAGAGCCTCTTAAGCCAAAACAGGCATCCTTCAGGAAAGGAAGCTGAGGGAATGGTGAGAGCGAAATGCCAAAGGCAAAAATGAAGAAAAACTCATTTAAGTAAATTGCAAAGAGGACTTGCTGAACTCAAAGAGGTAAAAGAGTAAGGAAAAAGACTTAGAACATTAATAAGATATAGCAACAAAAGTTGATTCCTTTTCTCCTGCTGCCAGTACCTCCACAGCCAATTCCAGAAAGCTCAAGGGGAGCAATTTGTGATATGATACCTGTTCAGCTTGGGCAAAGTCAACAGAACCAGCCGCTACATGGTTTAGCTATATCTTTCTGCCCTCTGATAAACTTACCACAGAGTTGCTTGTTTCAAAATAAAAAAAAGACATGGATTGGATGTTAAAAAGTGGCATGCTGGACCAGACTCGTGAAGCAATAAGTCCTTACTAACAATAGTTAGTCATTACTAACAGTAGTGTGGAATTTCATTAAAACTGCCGTAGTACCGCAGTTACAAGCACAGCATATATATTTCCAAAAGGCGGTAGATCTGATCCCAGCAAGTACTTTCTTCAAGAGGTGACAAACAGGTTGAAATGGTACTTAAAAATAAAATAGTAAAACGCCCAATGGATGTGATTGGGACAAACAACACAGCTTCTATAAAGGAAGTAAATCTATGTCATCAACTACACTTCTTTGAGAGTTTCAGCAAAACGGTAGATAAGGGAGAACGAAAGACCTAAAGTATTTCAGTTTTTCTAAAAGCCTTTAACAGAGTCCCTCACAAGAGGTTCTTAAAGAAGTTCTAGTTAAAGAGCGAAACATGAAGTACTGTCATTGATCTCAAGGTAGCTGAGACAGAAAAGAAAGAAGAGGAATAAAACAGGCTTTTTAGAATAGGAAAAGTCATCAGTATGTGTCCCACAGATTCTCATCTGGACTTTTGTTGGCTAGTGTATTCATTAATCAGCTGGCAAAAGGGAAAGGTGCCGCAGTGAATTCTGCAGACACTACGCAATAATTTCAGAGATGCCAGATGAGAATTGTTAAGACACGCAAAGCAAAGTGAATCAGCAGCACAGTAGCACCCAGAGGCCGTACTGACAGGTATAAAGTAGTGCATATTGCAAGGAATAACCAACCTCTTTTCCACCAGGAAAGTGACCTCTCTGGCACACTGTATATTTCAGTAGAATTGCCTGTTCAATGGCTTGTTGTGCCAAGAAAAACAAACAAAGCTTGAAAAATAAAGGAGGAAAATACAAATAGGGTTGTAATGGCTCCCTACTCTGGGAGGCCAGGTCCTACTTTGTGTTCAGTATGGACTGATCTTTTTACTCTTAGGAGTCACCTTTTCCTTCTTTGACCAGCATGGCATTTTCAAAGGTGCTTTACTGAGTGCTGTTACATGTGTTCAAAGAGAAGGGCAGCTACATCCTGTGGGTGCCGTATCTACTGCCCTTTCTCTGCACCGCCGTCCTGGGTTCTGTCGCTGTATTTTTCTGCATCTTATGGAAAATGTTTGTGTTTTTTTTTTAAACTGATCTCTGAAAGATCTGACTAGCAAAAACCTGGCATTACAGTGGATTTGGGTAAATTATAAGCATTATCCACACGCCTCTGAGATCAGGCATTTTGGCAGGCACCAGTACTGTCAGCTTCTCCAGCTGTTACCTCCCCTGACCTTGGAAAGTTTGCCACTACTTTTGTTCGCAGATGACTTCTTTATCTTGTTCCAGTTTCTGCTTTTATTTCCCAATGACATTGCGAGTGTCCACACTGTTAGACCCTATATATTCAAGATTGCAGCTACCCAGCCAGGAAGGCACGTGGGCAGCAGCAGCATTAAATCAATAGCGTGGGCTTGATAGCCTTCGTCATTAAATGCTGCCTCACACCCGCAAGAGCGGGTCAGAGGAGGACCCGCAAGAGCGGCTGAGATACTCAGGTCAGTGTTAATGCCTAGCAGAGGGGAGAAAGGCTTTCCGCCTGCTGTACCCGTTCTGCAAAACCAGCCAGAACAGGAGGGAGTGCGTCAGATCCTGAGCGAGCTGGTGTGTGCGGCGATCCCGGTGACTCACGCCGAATGGAGCGGCTCGGGAGGAAGCGCTCCTCGCAGGCCATCTGCCCGGCTGCACTGCACGAACTGTTAAGGCTCCAGCGCGAGCGGGGCCGGGGACGCTTCCCTGCTTCCCTTGCGTTTGACCGAGTAGGCAGCCGAGGAACCAGCTTCGCGTCAAAAACAAACAGAACCCGCCGACAGGGCACTGCTTCCTGGGGCGCCGCTCAAGCTAAAAATAGAGGAGAGGTGCCAAAGTGCACGCGTCCTTATGGCGTCCATGCGAGCAGCCGGCGCTGAGAGCTGCTCCAGGAGCTGCGAGATCTTCTGCTCCGTTTCTCCGCTCGCTCCCTTTGGCCTGCGGGGCTTCACCTTGTGCTCAGCCTGCCCCCTGCCCAGGGCTGCCCGCACCCCTTTCCCTGAATGACCTGCACTGGAAACAAGAGGGGCTCCACAGGCAAAGCCTCTAAAAGCGGCCTCATTAGGCTCTACCTCCCTCCACCTTTGGGATGGGGGATTGGCTCTAATAACCACTGCCTGAAGGTGGCAAGAAGCTTACCGACAGCCAGAAGCCACTGCAGAAGAAAGACTCAGGGTTTTAATGACTGATGAGATGGAAGCTCCCTGCAGGATTACTTGAAAAAGAATGGGTAATCTCTTAATTCAGACTAATCCCCCATCCAGACTCATTGCAGAGGGAGCAAAGAGTTAATAGCCAGAGTCACGAAAAAGGAGTGGGTGGGAGAGACCAGGCAATCTGGGGCAGAGGAGGAAGGGAAAGTATTTGACAGGCCCAGGCTACGCTGCCGCAAGGGCTGTGCCAGGGGAGCACTTTCCAGCGCTGTCAAAACATGAGGCGAACTCGTCCCCCGCACACTGGCGCAGAGCTGCATGCCAGCCAGACACGGGCCCGTGCAGACAGCCCTCCCCGCCAGCTGTCACCGCCACCGATGTGAGAGTTGCTCTGCACGGTGACAGGGCTTTTCTGCCGATGCTTGCAGTCGTTTCCCCGTGACCGCCCCTGAGTTTTCAGCCATCTTTCGCTGCCCGTCGGAACAAGTGCCCGAGGCACAGCTGCAGATCTCAAGTCTTGAGATTTCGCCACGTGCAGCGTCCCCTCGCTCACTACAAGTATTTCTTTGGGACTCCTGTTTTCTCCCCAAGGCATCTTGCAGGGTAATTCTGCAAGCAGTGCCCAGGTTGGACTCCCGGGACAAGGTACAGGGAAGGATCCAGCGGACCAAGACCCCACCTGGAGAGTGCAGAAAAGCAAAAGCTGGCTTTGCTTGAGCCGTACAGCAAGGAGGCTGTGCGCTTGCCCCACACCGGACCCATTCGGCAGAGCCCATTTGTCCGCAGCTCCCTGGTGCCAGTCCCACAACAGCCCTTGTTGGTCCGTTGCCCTCCACTGGACTTAACAAGGTTGCTAGCAGTCACACGCAGCAGCACAGCAGACACAAAATGAGCTGCCTTCTGCTCTATTTATGTGCATCCCAGACCAGTGTGCAAATCATTTAGCGCGCAGGCAAAGCGTGGACAGATACCTGTCCATGAGCACTGATGGACCTTGCCAGCTGTGTGTGTGCTCCAAGATGCGTCTCTTTCCTGGCTGTAGCACATGTACTTGTACGCTCCCAGCTGCAGGGTGGCATGGCACACCGTGTGTCATGCCGGATGTCAGAGGTGATGTGAACCTCTGAAATCACAAGGGCCTGTGGAAAGCTGCCCAGAGCTGAGAGTAAGGAGGAACACAGCAGAGGGACATTTGCAGGAGCGGCAGACAGGCGGTGGAGGCAGGAGATTGTAATGAGAACTGCTTTGCAAAACGTTGCCTTGGTAAAGAACTGTTTCAGCTTGTGCCAAGTAGTGGCTTTCTGTGTTACTACCCGCACAGAGTGCCTAAACCAGTGCTTAGCTTTTGATGTCTGAGTCTGTGTTAAATGCCAGTTTGCTGATGCTCTTCTGCACCCATTCCCTAGGCCTTACTCTCACTTACACTAACATCCCCTCATACTTATACCAGTAAGAATTAGGCCCTCCCTGGGGAACATCAGTGTCTCCGGACAGTGCAGGTCCCCTTTGTGGCCCTGCAGTGACCCTCTGCCCTTACCACGCCAGCTGCAGATTGTGCTATGTTAAATCCCACTCCTCTGGCTCCTGCTGTGGCAGCAGACTGGCATTAAATGCAGGCAGCTGGCCTCCTAACCACCATAATCAGCTTGAAAGAGCTGGAGAGGTGGAAAAAGTTAGCGCTTGCTCAGACACATTCAGCTATGTCTGAGATTATTAAAATCCAAATGCTAGAAGGGAAGTTGATGTTATGTGTTGATTCATGCAATGAAACACCTTCTAAAGCCTATGGGAGGAGGCTCAGAACCATGTAACACTACTGTTAGGCGATTACCATATGATCTTATGTAAATCTTCATAAGGCTTTTTTAGTGGAAATGGCCCACTCAGATAAATGAAGTCATCTTTCAACTGTTAATACATGCTAAACAACTGGTAGCCCATCAGTGGAAAAGTAAAATGTACCCCCCCCCCAAAATGCATGAATGGTTCTAGAACATGTTGGAGCTATTTACTGTGTCGAGATCCATGAGTCAGGATGCAGAGGGCAACTCTGTATCTGTATTTTTATTATTTACAAGCATTGTATTTACTTGCTTGCAAACAAAGCAGTGGACTTGGCAGATTATAAGCATTTTTGTAATAGATTTGTCACAATTTACTAATCAGGAACGCCAGAACTGTCATTCAGTTTAAGAAGTCTTTATTGCGGTGGTTCCCAGAGTTGGGGTTGTGATCCTACTTGGGTTTATCAGTTCTGAAGTATAAATGGGACCAGAGGGTCACAAGCCCCACTTTTAGTCCAGAAATGCAAGCACAATTTGAGGATTGTTGCCCCCAAATACAACTTCTGCTAGGGTGGAGCCTGGGCAATAGCTTTGACTGTACTAGTGTCTGCTGCAAACTGAAGGGATGAATCAGTTTGTGATGTGTTGTTTGGTTTTTAAACTACTGCATGTTTGGAACTTGCACCGCAGTGAGTTGTAAAATTGCTTGTGTGCTACCTACCTAAATTTGTACTGTGCACTTATCCATGGTGAATCAGTTAGCCTCAGGTAGCTGGACAACAGAGGTTTTTGAAGCCGCTACAGCCCCAACCTAACAAAGCAGGCTCAAGCAGAAGAAACTTGAGCTTTTGGTGCCAGAGAACATGGGTTCACAAAAATTCACAAGAGAACCCAGGTTCCAAGTGCATTAATGTGCCTGGGTCTCTGCAGCTTTAAAGTCTGCCTTTTTCTGTCAGACTCTGCACGGACTTATGCGGGCTACATCATTTTAAAGCACAGTGGGAAGCGGCAGTGCGGGAAAGTCCTCCCTCTAACTTTCTAGCCAGCCAAAGAACAAGCTCTTTAAAATGCTTGCTGTGTGCGTTAGGTAGCAGAACCTTCAGCCTCTGGACAGACTGTATCAGCTGAAGCAGCAGAGCACTTGGAAATGTTACTGTTCACAGTTTATGCTGTTTTTTCCCTCTTTCTTGTGCTTGCAGACTGGAAAATTTTTTGGTGCAGTGGATGGCTCAGTAATGACCCAACTGCTAAACATGGGCATGTTCAAGCGGTAAGTGGTGGATCTCTGCTCTGTATTTCTCTGCTTTCAGATGGCAAGTGGAGCAGGGGGTATCAGGCCCTGTAAGCAGCACCACTGGGCAGGGGGAGGATGCATGAGCAGGTGCAGTTGGCTCTCTTACTACAAGAGCTCCTTTGACTTCCTTCTCCCCTTCTCCTGGCTTGCTCAACCATGATCACCACCCTCCTTGTTTCTCCTCATCTCATACCCTTCAACCTGCTGCAAAGCACTGTCGGATACAGTAATTCCCAAGCCTTGTGTTGCCAGAGAGCAGCTACTTCTCTGTCATTGCTAAGGCCAAGTACTGTGGGAAACGCTTCTTTGCATTTTACGTGAAAGCACTTCAGTTCCCTGTGCCGCTTGGAAAGTCTTTCTATGAGTGGTTGGCTGAGACGCCCCTCCAGACGCAGCATTGCAGTTAGCTGAGAACATTTCTCTCTCTTAAAAATACCTCTGTTACTTTCATTCCACACCCCCAGTAGTTTTCAAAAGAGAATTGAGAATTTCAGTGGATTGAAAACAGGGACTAGGGACACTTGAGGTATATACAATTATAATTTGCCTGTTCCAGAGTGCGTGTTGCTCATCATCTGAAATTAGGGACACATTTCTTCCTGTACCGACCCAGTTACATTAATCTGGGGCCTATATATCTCACTTTTCAAAATTCAAAACTGGCCGAAGAGCAGAGAAGGATATAAGCACGACATCACTTTACTTCTTCTGTACAGACCTTTTTTCTGGAACGTGGTCCAAGTAGTGCACACTGACATGAGTGTCTCATAGGCAGTTGTATTGCTTGCATTTGACCACCTGCTTGTTTTGTTTTAATTGTAGGGTGACAATGTATGATTATCAAGCAATGTGTAAAATGCCCTACCACCACCACAGCGGAGCCCGGCCCCTGCTCAGCGTATGTATCTCTCTGCATGCAGCCCTGGGATATTCTGCTTTCTTCTAGGGCACCTCCAACACCTTAATGAAGCACGTTCCCCAAAAGAGCTTAGTAGTTGTTTGCTTTCAAGTGATGGGAATGCCCAGCCTCATGTAAGGCAGATTTCTGAGGCAGTGCTGGCCACTGACGGTGCTTCCCAGTTTGGCTCTTTATTGGTACATAGGCTCTCACTGAAAATTTGAAGGACTAGGGAGAGGGCAGGAACTAGACTGTGTCAGGCTACTAAAAGCCAAGAAACCAGGTTGCAGCTGGAAGGAGCAGAATTGTTTTTACAGGCCATAGTTCTACTCAGCAGCTCAAAAAGGAGAGTTGCACTGTCAGTGAACAGCGCATCTGGGATGAAGCCATCAGCCTTTCAAGGAAGAGCAAATAGGCTTGGATAACAGGGAAGGAGGTTAAAGCTGTGAGAAGAGCTGATAGCCCAGAGAAAGGCTGAGCTGCCAGAGTCAACGGTTTCATCAGTACCCAAATGCAATCGCTTCTTATTCTCATACAACCTAATAATCTAATCCTGTTCTACCTTCCTAACCGGCCTCAACCAGACAGAACTAAGTAATTAATCCAAAGCTAGTCTAGTTCAAACCAGTTAAAGCAACCCTCAACGGGGATGTGTTTATTATTTTTATGATCATTTTCGATACCTTAAAATATAGTGTGCTGGAAATACATTTTATGGCATGACTCCCTTTTTTTTTTGTACTAAAAAGTATTTTCAACAAAATAATACTTTTTAATAGTGTGTTAAATTTTTTAACAATATATCAGTTTGGGCAAATGCTGTACTTATTCTGGATAGATAAAATAATACTAATTTTAGTGAAAATATTTGCTTGATCATATCCTATAGAATTTTGGTTACTGAAAGAAACGTCAAAAGATGTGAGCTATCAAAACCAGGCAAACTGGGAGGAGAATAACAGGTTGAGAGTTAAGCTCTCATCTCTCCCTTTCCCTTCCTAGCAAAACCCTCAGAAGCGTACATTTTTCATATGCATCATTCATAGGAAAAAAATCAATCCAATTCCCAACCATCTATACATTTTACCGTTTGCTAACTTATTTTGGTTGAAGATAAATGAGTTAGCAGTAACTGAAGATTATCTTGTGTCCTGTGACTGCTGTATCCATTTTGGGTCTGAGGATACAGGGGGGATTAGAGGAGAGAGAGGTGAGAATTAGACATGGTCACCATGAAGAAAAGAACCAGCAGGATCCTCTGTAGATGAATTGTCCCTGGGACAATGCTGAATTTCCAATTTGTAGCTGAAAAGAAAGGAAATGAAAGTAGACATGCCATTTTGAGGAAAAGCTGGATAAAAGCACAGTCAAGTATAATCAATAGCAGATAACAGTAACTCCTGGACAATACTGTAGCTTGTCCCAGAAACGCTGCTTGCCATCAGAATATAAAAGCATCTGAAACTGGTGGTGTCCCATTTAGCTGTATTCCTCTCCTGCTCTGAGCTCTCAAGGTCATCCATACTGGAGAGAAATCATCCAGCAATTACATCTTCAAAGTCCTTCATACATTTGTGATAAACTCCCTGACCCTGCCTGGGAGGGGATGAGAAGATATTATTAGCAGCAAGGCAGCTCCACTGTCTTTTGCTGCATTTTGAGCGTTTTCCAGTGATATGCAGACTTTGAATTTCCAGCCTGTCTTCAAGAGTTCTGCCCAGTGAAGGGAATTGGTCTGAAATGTGGGGTCCTGCAAAACAACTATAAAATCTCTCTGACCAGGTCCTTATGGTATTTCTCTCTTTTTTTTTTCCTGTGTTGTTCTCCAGCCAATTTATGCCTTTCTAGCTGCAGTGAAATGGCTGATAAATGATTTCCTCATGTGAGTACAAAAAGAGATGGGCATTTGGGAGGCTTAGACCGATAGGCGTGAGAGCTAAGAAAACGACAAGTTTCTTGGGCTCCAAGGCCCCTGAGTAGGACATTGCTGACAGCCTTTTTGTGACATTCAGCTCTCTGCTACCAGAGCCTGTGCCTCACTCCTGGGAGACAGAAAACTATTACTACTCCCATTTTGCAAATGCAGAGGCAGAGGCCTAGAGTGGGTCTGGGATTTACCTGAGGTCACTCAGTACAAAGTGGCAGAGTCAGAAATAGGACTTGGGTCTCCCGAGGCCTGGTGCAGATCCTTGATGCTAAGTCCTCTTTCCTGTCTCATTTGCCTGTGCTAAGTGAATGCACGTGTTCACTTCACAGGAGATGAAGACTGAAAGAATGAAGCCAGGAAGCTCAGGTCTGAGCAACAGGCAAGGGAGAAAAGAGCAGGGTGAGGGAAGGCCTTGAACTGAGCGCTAGCTTCAGGCTCATTTCAAACTGCAGGGAGGGGAGCAACAGTTCAGACTCAAATCAGGATCAGAGTGCCTCTGCTTGGCTTGCTGGGCTCAGGCTGAAATACTGACCCTGAGTATCCCAACCTGAGATGTGGAAAAGATCCAGATCCTAGGGCTTGAGTTCATTGCTGCAGAATTATTCAGTGTGACTTGCAGCTGACGCTGTGTAGCCAGAGTGCTGGCTTCCTGGCAGCCATCCGTGCCTGCTCCTCAGGTGGCTCTCACAGTGACTGAATCCCTCAGCATCACTGGGGGCCGCTGTAGTCATTCCTTCAGTGGCAAAGCCCACATATAGTATGTACATCTGGAAAAAGCCCATTTAGTTATTCCAGAACCCATGATACAGAAGTATACTGGATAGTGTGGAGCAAAACAAAAAACGAAAAACAAAAAAACCTCAGACTTCCACTGCCAGAATATTCATAGTGACTGATATTCACTGGGTCACAGGGCCATCTCACTGACACCTGCATCCCTCTAGGCTACTGAAAAGTGTCCTCTGTTCTTGCTCTTTTGACAGCTTCCTTTTGGAGTTTAACATGAGTAGCTTCTGGCAGTCAGACAACCTGGCAGATGGTAAGTATACAGGAATGCAGACACCCCATAGCACGTGAGCTTTACAGCCACTAGTGGCAGAAGAAGCTGCTTGGGAAAGCCAGCATCATGCAAAAACACCGCCCTCTGCCCACATCGCATCTCCCTCTGCAGAGTCCGGAATCCAGCTTCCATGAAGCACCAGAGCTGTCAGGGGACAGCCTTTAGACGAGCACCTCAGGGGAGGCTGCTTTCTTTTCCTCACAAGCACCCACACACACCCACACCCACACAATGCATGCACAAGAGCCTCTGTCTGTCAGCTGCAGAGCCTTTCAGTTTGAAAGAGTCCCTTTGATTTCTTAATGACAATGGCCTATGGGACAGGACAGAGTAGGGCTGGGACCAGCAGGCTCTGCAGAGCTTAGCGGAGGTCACTGAAAGCTAGCCAGAGACTAAGATTCAAACAAGAATAACATCTTTACATCCTTTTTTGAACTATCCTGTGGGATTCTCTGCTGAGTTGTACTGGCTGGTTCAAATAACACATCGAGGGTCTATACTTTCCAAGTGAACTCTCTCCGGAAGATAGAAGACCATGGCACATGCTATTGCACAGTAACTGAGTACAGCAGAAGAAGCAGAGGGATATGTCTGGGTAGAAATCCAGTGACCTGCCCTGGAGCTACAATGCTGCCTGCTAAAAAGGTCCCAGGAGCCTCTGTGGTCTCATCCCTGCTCTTACAGGCAGAGGACGTAAATGGCTCTGAGGCAACCCTAAGGGAAAGGTGAGGAGTGCTCTGCACAGCAGTGTAGACACTGTTATTATATCCAGACTAGTTGTGCAGCGCTAAAGGTGCTTTCACTAGAGGCAGTGGTATGTTCTCTGCTAACTGGAGGGCTAGGCTTTCATTTGCACTGAATTTTCCTAGTGTAATAGCAAAGCAATCATTTTTAGAAAGCAAAACTTCCTCCTAGGCAGAGAGCAAGCGCAGTGTCTGCGTACTGTTTAAGTCCTGCTTGGCTCCTCCAAAGAGATCACCAGATGTGGTGATGAAAGTTGCAGATAAACAGAGCGGCCCCATGCAGAAATCAGTGAGGAAGAGTCGGATGAGCAAGTACAGTACTTCTGTTAGTGCAGGAGTGACTGCTCTTACTGGAGGACAGACAGACCTAGAGGCCTGATGTTCCTGCAAAGAGCTGTTATACATGCTAAACGGCTGGAATTTGTTTTAGTCTGTGTTTTGAGATGTGAGCAAGAAGGGAGGGGGTTCTGGCTGCTGCATTACTCATCACTATTTCCTTTTCTGCTTTCTTCATCGCTCTCTTGCATCACCTCTGTGACTTCTGTGTATGAATTCATCTCCTTGTTGTGCTGCCATCATGTGAAACGGTCACGTGGCTCCATCTTCATCGTGTGTGTGTGTTATGTGATTTATCCAGCCAAGGCTGTCTTCCATCACTGTAAGTAGAACTGTTTAGCAACAAAAAGAGGAGGATTTAACTAGAAATCTCAGGCTAGGAAAGACATTTTCCACCTCTTGGACAATGTGGAACTTGCAGAAAGGTTTCACAGCGACACGGTTGTGCCTGGCTATATTTCCATGCACTGGAAAGAGAGGAAGCAAGCACTGCTGTTACTTGTTTAGCTGCCTGAGCTGGTGGCTGAAGGTCTATCACTGAGAAGTCAATAAAAGAAGGGTCACACCAGTCTCCTCAGAGATTGCAGGCCCAGACAAAACCATCACTCGTTACTGTAACATAGATGGGCCCTTTACACCTGTAATGCGGCATGTCCTTCACTTCGGTTCCCAGATGCCCTGCTCTTCTTAGGCATTTTGGTAAAAACAAAGACTGTTTCTAACAAAGACTGTGCCTTCTTGCAGTATAAACTGTATGGGTCTTGTAGACTTCAGATATTAAGAGGCAACTTAAGTCTTCTTTTTCACACCCCATGGCATGGTTCTGATGAATACCAGCCCAGCTCTAGGATAATGCAGAATTACTTTCAATCAGTTTAACTGATAAGTATATGCTCTAGCTCATAAATGCACTCTTACAGGAAAGCTGGAAATCCCTCCAGACACAGTCCAGACTGGCTGTGTTTGTATCTCACTGCTTCCATATCCAGCTTGTATTCACTGATTTGCTCTCTGCCCAGCAAGATGTATGCGTGAGACAGAGCAAAATAGAGACGGTTGGAATGTGTCTCCATGTATGAAGAAGAGGATGAGAAAGGGAGTGTGGCTGTGGATGAAAAAAAGGAGTGTCCGTGTGTGGGGGAGGGAGTAGCAGGGTGGAAGAATACTGTTGGGGCTGGAAGGAATGGATTGCACATGTTGTTAAGAATGAACTGTAGATTTTTGCCAGAGATGCTAACAGTTTCTTGACTGCCTGCCAAGGCTGGTGTACGCAAAAAGTATGGAGAGGAGACATTTTGTGAGAGAGAAATGGAGTACACATTTATTCAGGGGTATATACAGAACAGTTAGTGGTTGAGGATCTAATGCTCACCCTTGCCTGAATGTGCAGCTCTGGTTCTGCAGCCCTGATCATATTCCTGCTTCCCAAGTTCTCTTGCTTTCTGGGAAGGCAAGACTTGCTGTTGGAATATGGGCATAATTGATTCAGATTGCCCTTATCATGCAAATCTGCTGTTCAGTGACAGTGAGAAGACATGTTTGCTTCCATAGATTTGTCCCTGTTCTCAGCATCTCATCCCTGTCTGTGTTTGTAAGAGCTTCTACTTTTATGCACATCATCACAGATCTGAAAGCCTTTAATCAAGCCAAAAATACTTTCAGCCAAGGGTGCAGTCTAGAAAGGACTATTTCTAGAATTCCGTAGGTCAAAAAAGTGGTTTTTGACTGCATGATAATGTCCACAAAGGATATACAAGATAATTGATTAAACTCTGTGCTTTTTATTGCACAGAATTTAGCACTTAACACTTAGTATTTGTAACTAAGTGGCAGGTTTTGCCTCGTTTGCAGCAGCGTAACTCCATTGACTTGGGTGTCGTTATTCATGATTTATGCTGGTGGGGAAGAGTTCACAATCTGGGCTGTACAGTTCATAACAAGGAGCGGCGGCTTCCTTTGCTGCTCAGAAGGATTGGTTGCCAACTGCCTGACAAAGTCTTTCTGGGAAGTGCAGATGGTAGCAATGACAGCCTGGAATTAACTCACTCTTTGCTATAAAGTTTGCAATTTGTTATCAGCTCCTCTGGCTGTTTACTAATCCCTGACCACCAGACTTTCGGTGCTACTGATAACGTTTTGATGTCCAGCATGTGCATGCAGAGGCTCAGCCCAAGTGTAATGCGGATGATGTACATGCTACTGGGCTCCTCTGAACTTCTGAATACTGCTGCAGCTGCATTGCTTCCAAGGCAAAATAAGTGGCAGTAGGCTTAAGCATAATCTCTATCTTAGGTCTTGTCTCCATGCAGAAGTCAGGAGATTTTCAAGTGGCGTGTTTTCATTTAGCCTGTGCCAAGAAACTGATTTAGGGGGGACTTCTGCCAATTTAACACAGTTTAAAAATACAGCTTAGTGCACATGATGAGGTTAACCCAGAGCAAGCTGAATTGTAAGCATTTGTAAAAGACTGCAAACAAACAGAAGTGCTACTTCTGTTAGTGACTTAGCCCATGCTACCACTGGCAAAAGTGCCCCTGAAGGAGCTAAACCTGGTGCACTTCCTATCGCTTACCCTCGCTGCTGTGAGTGCCACCACGGTATAGTTTGGGCCAGGGTCAATGCTCGAGTGTCACCTCTCTACTTTGGTGCCCAGAGCAGAGAGGTTTATCCCAGGTGTGCATCATGCAATTTGTTTAATCCCCTTTCACATTAAGGCCTGGTTCTCCAAATCTCCCCAAGTCTAGCACAACAGCCCTGATTCAACACCGACTGAGGCTAGGAGGCTTCAAATCTCCTTCCATTCCGTATTTTCAAAGCCAAGGGTCTGAGTCACCCCCTCCTTACCTCCCTTTCCACCACTGATTTTTATATTGCATGGGGTTTGATGATGTTACACCAGGAAGCTAATGGAGAATCTAATTCTGTGTTGGGGAGGAAGGGAAATTAAGTCTCTGTTATATCTTTGTAACTCCTGGCACGAGCAATATGCTCAATTCTGGCAGACACTTGTACCACACCTTTATCAGATCATGTTTATTGTCATCACAGCTGCTGTTTTGCACAGAGAAAGGCAGAGTCTGGCTCCAAAGGCTCTGCTGCTATGAAAGCCCTGGTCAGCACAGTGCTGTGAACCAAATGTAACATGACAGGACATTGAGAGTTCATTGGCTTAGGACAAACACGTGGTCTTGCCACAAGCGCGTCCCTCAAAAGGCTCCATCCCTGGAACAGACTGTGATGGTCTGGCCTTGTGTTTTGGAGTTATATAGTTATTTTCCTAGCCACTAGTACAGCAAAATAAGGCTGAAGGAAAAGGTTCCCACTCTGTTGTCCATCCTCCTTCTACCATCAGGGACTTCAGTGGCCAGAAGACTGTAAGTTTTTCATAGCTAGTCTGAGCTGGAAAGCATTTGTCATTTGTATCCTTAGAGCATAAATGGAGATATTCTGAGTGTTTCCTCAGAAATGTCTAATCCTCCTTTGAAATTTGCCTCAGTAACAGCATCTTCTACTGCTCATCCCAAGTAGCCTTAGGACTGTTCATCTCTGCGACATATCGTAGTAAGAGCCGTTCTCTGTTTGTTAGTAAAAATGGCAGAGGCCTTTCTGTGCCTCTGAAGTGTGGGGTTTTAGGTGCAGGGCCTGTTTGCACAGTGGTACAGCAGATGGTCACAGACGCAGCCAGAGAGCTCCTGGCTGGCCACAGAGTTGCCCCCAGACCCTGTGAACAAGTTTCATCCATTAAATTAAAGTGAATCAAGGGTAAATACATAGCAAAGCAGACTGCTGAAAACAAGCCTTATAGGCTTCTGGAATTGTGAAAAATGAACCTAAACATGATACTGAAAGGTGGTTCCCAGAGTCTGGAAGGATTTAAGTAGGAGGCTGCCTTGTGTGTGACATATTTAGAGAGAGTCTGAAGAAAAGCACAAGGCACAACTACCGGAGCCTCTGTACTGCAGGGAAGGGTTTAAATACACATTGTAGTCACCTGATGAAGGCATTAGAGGGGAGATTTGGCTGTAGTTCCTGGCTCTTAATGGATGTCTTATGTCACTAGATCTCTGTGGCAGAGAGAGAAATCAGAGAAAATCATCCTTCTTGTCTCTCTCTCACATAATCCGTATTGTTTAGATGGCAAGCTCCCTGAGGTGGTGACTGCCTCTTACTGTGTCCTTCAGCAGTTTCAGGGCAGAGGAGGCCAGAGGTCTCAGGGAGGACCTTTGGGTTTTGCAGCAACACAGATTACCCATCAGTATCACTGATGCTCTCTTGGTGCCTTCTTACCATAGATTAAATTTTACCATAAATCTTACCATAGATTAAATTAATTTTTACTGATTAAAACCTCTGTTGCTGCATTTTTCTATAAAGCAATTGTGCTGGTGCTGATGCAAGGAATAAGCTGGCTGTCCTCCAGATCAGGAGGACTCTCTTCCCCTGCCCATCACACCTGGCAGTGCATGCAGCCACCATGTGGGTGGAGGGCTGTGTGGGAATCTTTTGTGGTCAGACCCAAAGCTGATTTCGAAACCATTTCTCTTACTTCTTGTTGTTTGAGCCACAGCCACTTCTCCCCTAGCAACAAAGCCTCACGCTTCGATCAGAGACGTTTCCCTGTGGGTGACAGAGGCAGGAGATGCCTTTGCTACCTCTGATGGCAGAAAAACAATTCCAGACTTGCCCAGGATGAGCAAGGCAGTTGTTTTGGGAAAGGAAGTCCTTGCTGAACCCCCGAAAGGATGCCCTTGCTTCTCTGGGGAGGCTCTGTAAGGCAAAGAGGCAATTTGGCTCCCCCTCATCCCAAAATTAGTTTGGGAGCCCCACAGAGTGTGACTGATGAGTGATGACCAGCTGCTCGCTATCTCTGTAATGAATGGTTCCCTCCAGGAGCCGGTTCCTCACACAAGCTGGGGCTCGGCCGCTCCTTGAGAGCTGTCTGGTGCTTCCCTGTGGTTTCGTGGCAGGTCTGTTTGCTGCTGGGTTTTTTTTTTTTTTTTTTATGTGATATATATTTAACCCATCAAATTCCCTGCTATAGGGTCTCTCTGAAATGTCGCAGGATTCAGAAAGGATCAGAGGTTGATGGAGAACATGGAAACCTGGGAGGCTGCATTAAATCACAGATCTGTTTTAGAAAGGCTCCCAGCCTCATCTGCCAGTGGGGATACCCTTAACATGTAGCAGACTTCCCACTTGCCTACAGATGCTGGGGATCCTCATCAGCCCAGGTCTCCAAGCACAGACACTGAGGACTAGCCTAGCCACAGCTTTGAACCTGGGTTAAAATCAGTGCTTGAACCAGGGCTGGGTTAGGCAGGGGGGCCTTTATTAGCACAGCTGGCTGGGTAGACTCCCCCCTCCTTTGAACGCAGGGATACCAGTGTCAAAATGTCCCCACAACTGGCTTGTTGGCCCTGACTGCTGGCTCCCTGCGGAGGCTGCGCACAGTCACCCCACCACTATGTTTCTGCAGGGCAAGGGCCAGCCTCACTTCAGGGAGCCGAGTGGGAATTTCGGGAACATTTCTCACATAGACCGGGTTTCCCACACCACCTAGTGGGAGCAGGGATCACTGCAGTGCTGAGTGCTGAGTTTCCACAGCATCTCGCCTCTCACCTCCATCTCCTTTTTCTCTGGTGGGCACCTGCCTTTGGCCACCATCAGAGACAGGACACAGAGCTGGATGGGCCTCTGCTCCCACCCAGATGGCCAGTCCTAAATTCTTAGATGGTCACCTCCATACAGACCTCTCCTTTGTGAGCCTCTAACCTTCATTTCTTATCTTGTCTCCTTTTCACCATCGTAGCTCACAAGCATAAGAAGCACGACACCTTGCAGCCCTGTGACACGGAGTACCCTGTCTTCGTGTATGAGCCAGCCATCAAGGAGACAAACGGGCTGATTGAGTGCGGAGATTGCCAAAAGTAAGAATTACAGCTTTCATTTTGAGATTTCCACTCCTACCCAGCTCACGCGACACGCACAGCCGCAGTCATCAAGCGTGCCAACACAGCTCAATAGCCACACTGGACAACAAGGAGGTGGGCCAAGCAAATTAAAACTTCTGGATAAAAGAGAAAAAATTTAAACTATCTGTTAACAAGCAGAGCTGGCTGTAGAACAAGGGAGAGCATATATAAAAAAAAAAATCTTTCAATTCCACAGATTTCCAAAAGTAACCTTTTTTGATTTTTTTCATATTTTTGGCAAAAGTTTTCTCCTTAGAAAATTTTCCTTTTTGCATTGCTTTCAGCTTTCCTTTTCCTTTTGTATCTTCCTCTTTTCTGTTTTTCTACAGAAAAAAAGGAGAGAGGGAAAAGAGAAGTGTTAAACCAAAAGAAATCAAAAACTAATACACTTTTTTTTCCCATTTTCATTTTAAGAGAATGAACAGTCAAAAATAACAGAAAAGTCATTGTGAAGAGAGGCCATTTTCAGCAGTTATAAAGTGCCTAGCGCCATTAGTAATCACATGTGGGAAGGTGAAGAAAGGATGAATTTCCACAGGTCCAGCTTTCCCCAACATACTCTCACACAAAAATGCACAGAGGAGTCAAAATGGATCTAACTGGAATCCCTCATAAAAAAAAAAAAACCCTAGCCAGTCTGACTTCAATCTTGGATCAACTACAGGAAAGAATTAAAGGTTAGGAAAATAACTTGTGCTAGTCATGACTTTATGAAAAACAGGCCTGGCCAAACATTGTTTTAGAAGAGGTTGCAGATTTGGTTAAAAAAGGTATTGTTTAGGTGAAATAAGCTCTGGGCAGATCCTAAGGAGTTAAGTCCCAAAGCAGACCTGTTTGTGCATTACATATTAAGCTGTCACCGCAGGAGTCACCACCACCAAACCAGCCTTAGGCTGACCGCGCATTGCTGCCGGGCCAAACTGTTGCCTTCTCACAGCTGGACTCTGGCGTTCTTTGCAGTGCCGTCACCCACCCTTGACAGGAAAGCTGACAGATGTTTCCACCCCAAGATTTTTTTGTACTTTAGTGCTTACAGCAACCTCCTGAATGGTGGGAACGGGGAGGGGGTTTGAATTATCTCAGGCTGAGGAGGCCAAAAACCCATGTCTCCTACTTCCTGCCCTGCTTGATCCACTGCCTTAGTGTATAAAATGGGGGAGGCAGTACCTTCACTGAGCTCCTTCAGCAGCTGCTGAGTCTTGCTCAGCTCCTTCATCATTAAAGCAAGAGGCTGGACTGCAGGTTCTGGATACTGGTTGCATCTCTTTTTCCTCCTTCATGCAGATGCTCAAGAGAGGGGAGAGTTCAGACACAGGCTCTGTGTAGCATTTGCCACTGACCTGCTCAGGCATACAGGCTCTCTGGATCATGTTAGCAACCCCAGGCTGTTCCCAGTGGTAGAGGAGCCTTCATGCTTCATTGTGGGCATTGACTTCCACTGCAGAGGGTGAAAAGTTGGCTCTCAGTCCTGTGTATGGGGTGCCTCCATCCTGATTACAGAGTTTATGCATAGGTTAAAACCTGCTTGTCAAAGCTCCCAAAGTACTCATCGGTCAGAAATACTCATGAAGTGGTCACGTGCTGACACGTGTGACATTCAGCATCTCTACCAAGACTCTAAAATTCAATATAAAAAGATCAGTAGAGACTGGCCAAAGGAGTGGCTAAGGAGGCTGGCTAAGTGGTGACTAACCAGGGAAACAGAGCGGTCCTGCAGAGTGGTCAGGATGGTTGGCACAGGGGGACACATTCTCACAAACCTGTATTTCTACTGCCTGATCCAGGAACCTTCCTCCTTGGCTGCGAGATGGTTAGCAGGAATGGGGACACACAGAGACATGTGCAAGGTGCAGCATCGCCGTCCTGCCAGTGCCAGCACAGGCACCCTGAGCATGCCTTCTCTGTGCCCAGATGTGCAAACACACATCCACAGGCACATGCAGCCTTGTGAGCAGACACATTTCACACACACACACACACACACACACACACAAAAAAGTCTCTCATGGACAAAACTGTACATGCAGTTGAAGCACATGCCTGCCTGTACCCTGCTGTGCCCACACAAGCCCTCCTGCCCGCACAAGCCCTCCAGCTCCTGCGCGGCCTGGTAGCAGCACTTCTGCATCCTTCTCTCGCATGATGCAACCCCTCACGTCCACGTGCATGGGCAAACAGCTGCTCCTAGACACATCCTCACCTGCACGTGCTGTTAGTCATCACTAGGCAGGTTTGTATTCTGCTTGTTCTACAGGGAGGGGAAGGGACAAACAAACTTGTGACCGCAAATTGAGGTGTCACGTTTCTGTCACGGCAGTAAGCAAACAAAGCACCCTTTGGTCAGTCCCAGCTCACAAATATAATGAATGACATTACTGGGATCTTCCATTTCTCATTCAAATAACATGAAACTGAGCAAAATTCTGTTCTTTGCAGGACCACATACTACGTACACCCTGCATTGTACAAGCACATGCATAACTATATGTTGACTGGGCATTGACACAACACCACATGAAAGTAGGCCTTCTCAGATGTGATCTTCATTTCTGACTGTAACTGGTACATGCTGCCTCATTTCAGTGTGTATGTATATGTGTTTTGGGAGGAGTGAGGTTTGGGGGTTTTAGTTTTGATTCTGGCTTTTCTGCCTAGCATGGAGTTGTAAATCTGAGCCAGTTAGGAGTTTCCTGCGGACAAAAAGGTGTGTTAATACCCTCTCCCCCTTGCACACATTCCCCAGCTGCTCACTATTTCTCTCCTGCTTTCTGCTGGCAGCCCTTTCTGATTTTCCCAGTTTTCTTTGCATTCCTTTGCTCTGGCAAGCAGGGCCAGGTGATGCCAGGGCTGCTGCTCTGGCTCTGCAGTGGGAACGATGTGATTTCTCTCTCGTGCTCCTTTCTCCACAGGATGTTTGTGGCACAGCAGATTTCCAGCAGTAACCTGCTGCTCCTTGTCATGGATGCCACCTGCGACTGCAGCATCTTCCCACCTGTCCTGCTGGATGCAAAAGAAGTCAAATATATCCTTCTACATGCAACAGGCTTGCAAGTCTCCACAAGCCCTTTCATCTCTGTGTTTGCTGGGGTGCAAATCTGCTCCTGTGGCAGTCACTGGGGGGGGAAGGGAAAGGGGGTTGGAGGGTAGTGCCCAACTTGCGGGACAGCCAAGGAGACAGCCAGGGAGCCAGGCAGGTCTGAGGTGTGGTGGCGAGGAGAAAACAGTCCTGCCCTTGAAAATGGGAAAACGGGGGCATGCTAACAGGAGGACTTGCCACAGCCACCAAGGCATTCCCTGCTGGAGAGGAAAGTGTCGAAGCCACGTCTCCTCTCTCCCAGGCCAAATGTCTCCTCTGCTACAAACTGCAGAGGGCAGGGCAGGAGCAGGGGGCGCGGGAATGGGGCTGTGCCTCGGTGGCACTCTCGGATGGGCCGTACAAGTGCAAGGGTTGGGCCAGGCTGTTGCAGGCTGGGAGGAAGGGCCTGTGCTGGGATGGGCACAGCTGGGCTGGCTCCCCGGCAGTGCGCATTTGTAACTCAGCTCTACTTGGTGAGGGCAGTGATGTGGTGAAGGCTGCTGCCATAAAGCCGAGCCGTCTCCATGCATTTTGCCGTTTTTCAGCTGCCCGTCTTTCCTTGCCTTCTCCTAGCGCTTCAGAATGGCCCCAACCTGCCTATCTGCATCTTCCCAGCTGCGAGATGACCTGTCCTTCCCTTCTGCCTCCCCAGCCTGTCCTTGAGGCTGGCTGATTACACCTAGACAATTTGCATCAGGACCCCTTTGGGCTGCACCATACTCATGTCCGTTTTTGCTTGCCTGCCTCTGCTAACATCCTTAACAGCCTCTCACATAACGCGTCAGTGAAGTGTGACCGGATGCGCTCGCAAAAGCTGAGGCGGCGACCGGACACCTGCCACGCGTTTCACCCCGAGGTACTCCCGTGGGGTGGGGGACAGGGAGGGAGAGCACATGCCTGGGTTCACCCGCAGCCCTACACACTGCGTACATGACTGTGAACATGCATACGTGCCCCCCCCCACCCCCACACACATGCATTATGCATATCTTCTCCTCATCCTGCTGGCTGGACTGAGAAACAGCCGCCTGAGTTCCCAGGGGGTTTCCTAGCAAGAAAACGTTCACACTAGTGACATCTGTGAAGGGCCTGAGTTCAGATGGTAGAGGGTTGTCGGGTTTCTTTGGGATTTCTCTGGGAGGGCTTTGCTTGCTTGAAGAGCATCTGCTGCTGCAACCACCACTTGCAGCCAGGGGCTGGCGCAGGAGCAGACAACTCTGGTGCTGCTGGCATGAGCGTGGTCTGAGCACCTTCGCACAGCATGAGACCTCCCTGCCTGTCCTACGAGGCCAGGGGCAGACACAGTGACCTGCTCTCGGGCAAAGGACTCCCGAAGGAGTTGCAGGAGCTCCCTGCAGGTGCAGGCGGGAGCCCTCACGGCAGCACTGCTGTTGCAGAAGCAGATCCTGCTGCACCCTCAGAGAGCAAGGGCTGGATTGCAGGGTGCACGGCAGAGCATGGTGAGCGCTGGAGAGGTATATGGCTTTCTAGCTTGCAGACAGCAGCCTCGGCCTGTGGGAACCAGTCCCTTATTTTGCCTTCAATGAGTCTTTCGGAATGTGAGAGGAGGGCTCCCTTTCCTCTGCCTGGTGCCACCCTGGCAGTAAACATGCTGATGGCCTTATCTCCTTCCCAGGAAAACGCCCAAGACTGTGGCCGCGCTGCTGAGATCTCAGTCTCACGAACATTGCTCCTACTGCCCCTGGCGCTGCTCCTGCGGTGACACTGTCTGCAACGCCTTACGCAGCAGAGACATGGGGAAGGATGGGCGACTTCCGTTTCCAGCAGCTGGCCGGCCACAGGGTTGGAGCTGTGGGAGGAAGGACACTGTGGTGCGGGCCTTTCTGTGACTCCCTCCGTGACTCCTGGGGGAGATGAGGCACTAAAGATGCAGCACAGCATGTTCTGCATCCTTCCCAACAAGCCCTTGTCCAGCTTGGTGCCGACATTGGAAACAGTTCCCTCTACAAGAGTCCGCAGCCCAAGGCCTGGCCACAGTGGTGTGGGGACCAGCGGGGTCGGCTCTGTACACCACATTCCTGAGCTGCTCCCAGCCTGCTGGCTTATAGCAGAAGAGACAGAGGTCAAGGACATGGCTGACGCATGTAGGTTTGACCCACACATACCTTGCATTTTGCTGCTGCTCCTGCTAGGAACAGCAGAGCCCATGCAGATGCCCTGGGGACTTTACTGTGGCCGTGCCTCTTTCAGAGCCACACTGGGTACCCCATGAAGGCAGAGGGCTCTGCTCAGCCAGCAGAGGAGGGCGGGATGGATAGGAAACTTTGTCTACCTGTTGCTCTGTAAGAGCCAGGATTTTGAGCACCATGGACCGGGACAGCCGAGGCACAGCCATACCAGAGCAGGACCTGCACGGGTCCTCAGCAGGGAGGCAAAGCCTCCTGGTCTTGGGGGTGTTTGGTGGTCAGACCCCAGGGACAGGACATGACGCCTAACCTGAATTGCACTAACGTAACATGCATATGGACCATGGGAAGTAGCACAGCTTGACTAGTTAGCTGCAGCTACGCAAGCTCTGCTAAGGCAGATGTGGTCTCCAGCACAGACCTTGCCTAACACTGCTAGAACAGCATCCAGGTTCTTGCCTATATGTAGGCTTCTGTGTAGGGAGGGGTTATGTATGACCCACCAAAAGAGGGGGTAGGTTCTCTGCTGCCTGCTAGTTTCACTGCATAAGCAGCTAAGAAACAGGCACTTTTTCCCTCAGAGCTGCACTGCCTGGCTTACTGAAGCTGCCGCTGGCTGTCCAGTGGCGAGCAGCCGCCCGCCCTGAACCCAGCTGTTGGGCACAGGCTGGTTCTCACAGAGCTTTATGAACAAGGGGTGGGGAGCGCCTGTTTTTCCTTTTTTGTATGAACTGTTCCATATCATCTCTTTAAAAACAAATATATGGCATATTTTAAATAGATAAGTTGTGGCATTGGTACTAATCCCAGCCCTACACTAATCCCAGACATCCCTCTCCCTGCTGGAGCCCAGAGGGACATGGCACGGGTGGAGGAGCAGAAATGGAGCTGCAGTGTTTGGCCACCAGAGATATGCCAACACCTCACAAGGACTCCAAGAAGTGTTCCAGGTCGCTGCCCCGCTGTTTTTACTGGAGCTGTGGGAAGATGAGTCTCCTGCCTTGCAGGGCACTCTCTGAAGCCAGCCAGCTGCACCACACTTAGCCCACAGCCCTCTGATCACCCCTGAGGCAGGGTGGGTATGTGCTGGGGGTAGGGATACTACAGCTAACAGCTACGGACAGCAGCAGGGTCTCATCTTGCGTTCTGCAGCTTCCCCTTCTGTAGCCACCCACAGCACCCGCGGGTACACAGCAACAGCTCCAGGGGACCAGGCTGGCAGACAAGCAAGACAGTGCCTTGCCCTGGCCTCCCCTTCGAGGCCAGCAACTTCAAGAGCCCTTCCACCCCTCCAGGCCCCTAAGAGCTGTCTGGCTCATCACAATGAACTGCCAGCTGCAGCAGTTGATGCCTTGATGCTGCCCTTCGCTCATTGGCCTCGTTGCTCCTCACTGAGCCCCTCCTGCCACAGCGCCGGCAGCCACCTCTCAAGTCCACCACTCCCACAGCTTGGCAGTGGCAGTGGTTAAACAAACACACACACACACACACACACACACACACACACACACAGAGCTCTTACCAAGGGCAGTTTTAACAGCTGAAGCTTTAGTGTCTCACCAGGATTGTCCCTTTCCCCACACGACCAAGAGCCCACAAATCCACCCCAGTGCGCGCTAGTACAGATGCTTCTCCTCCTACCACCACATCTCAGCCCTAAGCCTAACGGGCTCCTCCTGTGACTGCTTTTGCCTTATCAGAGACAATGTTACAGCAAAGAGGAACAAGTGCGGCACTGGAAGTAAATCAGCCTCTGGAAGTGGAGATGTTTACAGTGCTTCAGATCCAGTGACCTTTATTAGAGTCAGAAGCAGCCAAGATAAAGACTATACTGAGGAAAAGGGTCTTCTGTCAGGACCAAGGAGCTCTGGGTCCAGCTCTCAGACTGAGGAGCAACTGGCTCAGGACATCCCCCACTGGCTGATGAAGCTCCAAGCGTTGCACTCCTGCCCTTCACGCAAGCCCTCCTGGGGGACCCAGCTCTCAAGGGTGACCTCGCCTGTCAGAAAGGATTAAAGTCCCAGCTCCACTCAGCTTAAAAAAGATATATAAATACACACTGCCCTGCAACATAACAACGTTTGATTTCAGGTGTATTAATCCACAAGAAACAAGGTCCTGTAAACAGACCCGCACAGAATGAATAAGATGAATTATACCCAGTTTAGTTACTTCACTCAGTTTGTGTATAGGTTTTAACTGAAGGGAATGGGAGGGTAAGAGGGGTGGAAATTGAATTATTTCTTCAACCAAAAAACAAGGGTGCAGGCCTGCCAGTAAGTCCTGACTTAAAAGCAAAGCACACCCTGGGCGCTTGTCTGCACAGCAACTTTCACCAGTTTGCCCAATGCAACGGCAACCTGCTGCAGTGAGAAGCAGGAGGACAGATATTTGCACCTCGGTGGAGCTGGCACTGAGACGTGACCAACTAAGGCAAAACAAGGCACGCTTGGAGGTGCTGGAGCTGCCGTGCCAGGGCTTCCCAGGCTGCTGCGGCGTAGCCCGAGGCAGTGCATGGGCAAGGCTAGACCGTTCGGCTGGGCTCTGCAGCAGTGCCGGCATCGCAGAGCCTCAGCCCGCACTGCCTCGATGCTGCAGGTTCTGCTCCCACCCTGCTAGGTCGTGCTGCCTGTTCTGGTGCTCGCTGGCTGCCCCCCAAGTCCCCCCGGCGCCCCTCACTGCTGAAGAGCTCCCCTCCCATCAGCATTTGGGGCTTCAGCTGGGTAAAAAGGGGTGAAACCACATGGCAACTAGCAGTCAG